TTGTAATATGATATACCTGAATGATTTGTAATGTTTTTTGTATTAATGATCTACATGTATTTCTATTCATAATTTATCAATTTCATTGTACTGAATTTAATAATGTTCATAATTATGTTGAAAATGTATGTATTATTATCAATCCAACCCTTGGTTGCTATGAATGAATAAAATAAATATATAGAGGAGGAGAGGGAAGAGGAGGATTGGGAAGAGGAGGAGGGGGGGAGGTGATGAGGAAGGTAGGGATGGACAGAAGGAGGAGGACGTGATAAACTTTTAGAGAAATGTCAAGAGTCATCAGCTGCTAGTCAGAAGGATGTTCATTTTTTAATTTTTAAGCTAATTCCATTTGGCTTTCATCAGATGAGAACATTACTGTGATTTAACTAGTCTGACTTTTATCGAAAGCGATCTAGATTATAATCAATAGATACATGTATGCAGTCACAACAATGTACATGCCTTGGTAAGGTTTACCAACTATCATCTCATGCTACTTTTCAATATTTTGTTCTTCAATATTCTTTTGAATATTTGTAAAGCTTAAATTGTATTTAATTAGGTATGTTGTTGGTAAATTGATTAACCAGTCAATCTGCCAGCTCATATTTTCATATTTTTAGAATCATGATCTTTCTCCTCCAAGTCTCAAGACTACTTTATATACAGGGAATAGGGAGGGATGGGGGAGGAAATGGGGAGAGGAGGGGGGGGGGGGGGTATTTGAGTCGCCTCTAGTACCTATACTGTTTTCACACTGGCAATATTTTTCTTAACCCCGTACTATAGGTGGGGTTAAGGGGCGGGGGGGTCTTAGCCCCACCTATAGTACGGGGTTAAGCCTATTCCACTTTCTGTTCAGACTGGTTTTTACCAAAGTGGGCTAAAGTTGGCTAACCCCACCTATAGTACGGGGTTAACTAACCCTGCAAAATAGCAGGGCTAACTCCGCAATTGTGGTGCTAACTCCTGCTAACCCGCAATTGCGGTGCTAAGCAAATGAATGAGAACAGAAACGAAAAATAGTCCGGTACTACGCAATGGAGCGTATCGCAGCTGGCCAGATGTGAAGTATGTCCAATCTTAACATTCACGATATCCGGGGTTAACGAAATGCAGTGAGAACAGCGGGAATTTTCTTATTCCGGAATAGGCGCTAGTACGGGACTAAAAACAGCGTGTGTGAAAAGCCAAAAAAAATAGTCCGGGGTTAAGGATAGTACGGGGCTAAGCAAAGTAAGGGGTTAAGCAAAACCAGTGTGAAAAGAGTACTAGACTTGAACTCGAGTCCAAAGTCTCCAAAGAGGCTAACATTTCTCTCCAAAGCGAGGAGCATATCTTGGAAGTAATGATAAACAGAGCGGTAATGGTAGGATGCTAGCTGAGATAAGGAAGATCATACAGCATGGGGAAGAAAAGAATGTGAAGAATTACATGTTTATGCCATTTCACAAACTGCCTCAGTCCACGTTGCCAAGTACATTCTTTCTTTCCAATGCAGTCTAATGTTTTTTGCACAGCTTTCATATTTCAGTCATTCTCTGTACTGTATGTCAGTAGAATACAATTTCCGAAAGGTCTCTTTTTATTGTCTTGTTCTTTTTTGAAGACCTCCTTTTCAAGATCATCATGATCATAATGATCATCATTATCAATAATATTATTGTTTCCATTACCACAATCATCATCATTGTCATCATTATCATTGATTTCATTATAATATTAATATCATTGGCATCATTATCATCATCCGCCTCATTATCATCATCATCGTCATCATCAATAATATTATTATAATTATGATAATAATATTATTGGCATCATTATCATCATTCTCATTGTCATCTTCATCATCCTCACCAACTAACATTAGTTTCATCATATATAATTCTCTATAAAGGATTATAATATTAAGCTTTTAGACAACATGTACATTGTAGATACTTTTTTGTATCACTCATTTTATCTTCCCTCTTACTCTTTGATCTTATTTCTAACATCAAACATTCTGTTATGAAGGATAATGAAGCACTTGGGTGTTTTGCCACATCCATTGATACATGTACATGTATTATGTACCGTATGATGAATTAGACCACCACCATGAGTTAATTTCCTCTGTTTAGTTTAGATAATGGATAAAATGTGTCTTGAGACAAATTTAAAAACCATTTAGTATTTTTATCTAAATATTTATGAATACATCTTTCAAGTTCATGATGGATGATCCAATTTTCTGGATTTTTTTTAAAAGTAATAAAAGAATCAAATTAAAATATTATATATATTTTATTATTTTTCCATGATGTTGCCAAGGGATCTGTCTCCCTTTCAAAATGTTTAGGGACTGCTTGGGCTATAGACTACACTAGCTGGGCAAAGTATTGTAGCTTTGATGCATTCGGCCTGACTCAAGTTACCTTCAAATTTGTTCAACAGCAAAGAAAGGTTGAAACAAGTATTTTACATTTTTCTTATTTGATCTTATTCATGTGTGAAGGAAAGAAAACCCTACATTACTACTGGCACCCAATACAAATATTGATGTAAAATGAGGATGTCCTTGCAACCATGTGTAGACTCTTGGTTCTTAACGATCCCTTTAAAAATTGTCATGCATTTTGAGTGGGCTCTCTCCAGCTTATTGAAGTCCTTAAAATTGCAAAATGTACATACATATCTAGTTTTATTGATGGTAATCCTGATTCATACAAGGATCCTCATGTGTTTGAACCTTTTTGATTCACTCACGGTTTTGCTTTGACCTGTAAAATGCATTTAACCTCCATGCACTATTAATTCTTGGTTCATTGTGGTAGAGAGAAAACCAAATGCAAGTAGAAGGGTTTCAGGAGAGAATCTAATACCAATTGAAGCTTTGACGACTGCCTCGTGAAATAAGTTCCAAATGTCACGCCTGGATATTGGTTCCAATAATCTACCATGCTCCTCTCTGTCGTTCCCGTTTTAAATGAGTTTGATTGAGAAGTGGACAGAGTGAAGCTGATCATGACAAACACGATCAAACTTAAATGTATTCAGATGGAAGGAATGGATTATAAATAAAGAGCTAATGATTGGGGTGTTTGTGTTGGTAATTTAAATAAGTAGGGGGCAAAACCTTACCCTCCAGCCATTTACAAACGCTTTCCTATTCCATCTTTCCATTTCTTGCCTTACTTCGAGACTCACATGATGTTTTGTTTTAAGGCGCTATTAAAATATATATATTTTTTTTGGGGGGGGGGGATTTGTGTGGTAGAATTATCATAGCTCTGACCCCAACATGAATGTGCTAGAGACAATGAAATTATTCTGATTCTTGAAGGGTTTTGAAACGGTGTTCTTTATATGTTCCGGGTAAATCACTTTGTAAAGAAATAGTATTGTGGATCAATGTTTTCACAAAGCATATTAAATTTTCTTGAATGGTATGCCACATGAATTACAAGTACTTGAATAACGAGTTGCAATTAAAAGCAACTCCAACAAAACGAACATATAACAACTTCATCATATACAAATAATTTCCTCTGCTTGGTATAAAGTCAGATTTTTAAATTTTTATCTTTGGAGTTTTGATTTAGAAATCAGAACATTTTATGGGGGAGGACCCCGATGATGCCTCATCTGATAAACTTTGTTCCTTATGGCTATGGAGAAAATGGTTAATGATAAGTTTGCAAGGTATATTTTATATGTTTAGTTGTTTACCACTTTACCAGGACTTGGATTTTTCATCTTATTCTGCCAAACTTAGATTGCAATAGAGTGTATGAATAAGTGATTGGCCTGATGACGAGGCTAGCCTAAGCCTTGAACTTCAGTGTTGCTGGTAGAACATCTCGTAAATCCAAGCTCATCTCAAATCGAGTAAGTTTTTATTGACAGCGGGAGACGAACAGATGATCGAAATACGATTTGGAAGTTTCTATAGTCTCCTGGCAAGAATTTAGATTGATTTCACTTTAGGGCCTCAATTTCATAAATCTTCCTCTCATCTACATGTAGCTTATCTTTGGACGTGTTTATAGGGGGATACCATTGGATTCATAAAAACTGTAGTTCGTATTGTACTCACCGTAATGAACATATATTTTGTCAGGTGCTGGAGATTGTTTTTCTAAGAAATTGTAGTATAATGGTCATTGATTTGTGACCAGTATCAAACGTGGAATGGACTGGGGTTTTTCTGATTGTTCAAGATGGTTTTATCCATCAAGTAAATAAGTTTCACGCTCTGACCAATAAGACGTCATCTTATCATTTTTTGAGGATTTGCCCTTTTATTTATATCATGTATATCCATGATATTTTGTCATATAAAGTGTGTATATCACAACCTATGTTTCAGAATGAAGAGGAAATATTAAAACACACATCTTTGATAAAATAGGGGTTGGTCCATTATGAGCCATTCAAATACTGGTAACATGTTCACGTAACTTCATAACTTTGTAACTTCTAAGGAGAGCATCAATAACAGCGTAAATTTAAACAATGAAAAGTCTGTCTTCCCCAAAATGATAGAGATTTTTGACTCCCTGTCAACAGTTTGAAAAGTCTGTGATGTCCGGGGTTCAGTGAATCTAGTTTTGGTGTGAACAGAATCTTTATATTATTATCAATAGGATTATAAATTTCCTTTTAATAGCAAAAAATGTATTCTTACGGACATGACAGATTAAGCATAACGGACATGACACTTTTTCCACTTTTTATAAACATCTACACAATGTATAGCTCTGCTTCAAAATGTTCAATGTTCAATGTTTAAGATTTCAAATTGCATTGTCTGCATGCACGATTTTCTTCCTTCTTCATCAGTTTCATATATGCTTTGTAAGTAACAAGTTTACAAAATATATAGGCAATTGCATATGTTTTCATAGACCCCTTAAATTGCATATTTTCATCAGACTATTTCCAATGTTTTTTTGTTGCTAAATCAATAGATATATTCATCCAAGTGTATTTGATTTCTTGTACTCCTGCAGGTATCAACTACCAGCAACCGCCACCACCACCACCACCACCACCACCAGCCCAATCTCCATCTCTTTGGGCACCTTATCATCATCCAAGTAGTAGCCACGCCTTGGTAGCCACGCCCTGGTAGCAAGATGGAGGCCTTCTCACCAATGGGTGAGACCGTCATGGACACGTCGGTGCTTGCGAGCCCGCAGTCCTCCCATCTCATGATGGGTGTGGGTGAGGAGTCTATGGAAACAATGGCCATGTCACCCAAGGCTCCAGAGACTCAAGAGGTAAGTCAGTTTCCTGGGGGGTGTTTCACAAAGATCCTAAGCTGAACTTAACTCTAAGTTAGACTTCAAACATTATGGAGAGCCATTTGTAGCCTTAAAATAACATATATTCAAATGTGAAAATTCAAGTATTTTAGACTGTTTATATAAATTCCACATCAAGAACATGAAATTCCCGCAGGTAGTAGAAAATATTAATGATTTGAATCAACATTTTATGCCTTTTAAAATAACTTTTACAAAATATTTTTATAGATGCTGAGGGCTTTCCATAATTGTTAAGTCCAACTTAGAGATAAGTTCAACTTTGTGAAACACCCCCCTGTGGTTGTACGGCACATTTTCTGGTCATAGTTGCTCCACCATTGATTCCCCACACTTACCAATTTCCTAACTACAATTTTGCACAAAAGACACTTTAGATCGACTTCAATAAAGAATTACACAAAGTGCAAGAGCACAGAGTCAAGAATATCTGGATGAAACACTGCTGCCCCATTTGTGACCAGGGAATAAGTTTGTGATAGCCACTTCTCGTTTTTTGTTGCAGTACAGAACATAGTGTGTGAAATGGTTTAACAAAATGAAAACATTCATTTAACTTTTCAAATTGGGAATATGTATATGGTAGAAATTCCATTGTTTATTACAGTTACAGGTTTTAAATTAGTAAATCTTTCCTACAATACTGATATCAATACTTGTTATTTACATTTTATTGATATTCCCTGCTCTAGGTAAGCAATGAGAGACTACAACAGATACCTGCCCCAGTCTTGTCAACAGATGGCACCCTTCACGGTCTCAACACATCATTTGCTGGAAGCCTCTCGAATCTGATGCTACCGGGAATCCCAAACCCAGCCACAGGTACCACCTCCTTCTTCCTCAACACGACAAGTCCTACAACAGTGGCAGCGCCGCCAGGGCCGTTCTTACTCAACCAGTCCAACCTGACAACAGCTACTGCTGGTGCACCGCAGCTCCTTATGAATGGAAGTGCAGGGGTGCAACCCAATACGACATTCTTCTTTAACACCAACCCAGGGAGTAGCAACATGCAGACTTTCTTGCTGAATCCAAACATGGCAGCTCAGGGAACGCCCTTGATGGTGCAGAATCCGCAGACTAATACTGCCTTCTTTGTGAACCCAGGAATGTTGAATACGAGTCAAAGCACATTACTTCTAACACATCCTGGCTTGGCAGGGTCGAATGGCGCACTCATGTTGACCGCAAACCAAGGAGCGGCAGCCATGCAACAGTTACAGCCGCAGGTCCAGCCAGTGGTGACCCAGGCACTGGCGGAAAACCTTACGAATGCTGCTTCAGCAAGCGAAGTCCAACAGCAATTGCAACAACAGACGCAACAGCAAATACAACAACAGCAATTGCAACAGCAAATACAACAACAGACGCAACAGCAAATACAACAACAGACTAACGACGCAAGTAGTACTCTTCAATTTCGGACGTTGCAATTACCCTTGGGGACATTACCCGGGACTTTATTACAGACCGATGGAACGCAGAATTTGATCTTGCAACCGAGGGTGGAGCCAGCTGACAGTGATACTTCTTCCGTCTCAGAGTTGTCTCAGGGAATCGTGGAGGAGAACTCAATAACTGAAAACCTCAGGGAAAACAAAGACAGTAAGTCATTGTTCTTTGTTTTTGTTTATATTTGTATTGCTTGATGGATGACTGTACTGTATATGTACTCAAAATCCTACTTCGCATTTAACCAACACTCAGATTCTGATCAGTATCCCATGTCTCTCTATATCACATTGCTTTCAGATTTGTTCCTGAGACCTGTCAAAGAGGGCAGTGTATAATTTTCAGTTCTTCACACTAGCATTCAGAAAGGCATAATGATAATAATAATAATAGGCATTTGTATAGCGGCGTCTATCTAGACGATGCTATTCCGAGGCGCACAAGAAAAATAAAAAGAATGAGAAAGTTTGGACGAGAAAGTTCGGATGAGTGTCATAGTGCCAAGTACAGGTATTGTTAAAAAAGATAAGATTTCAGCTTGGATTTAAAGGTCTCTAAGGAAGTTATAATTCTCAAATTAAATGGTAATTATTCCAAAGACAAGGTGCTGCAGATCAAAAAGCCCTTTCACCACAGGCTACTCGTGTCTTTGGGATCTTAAGAAGATGCTGGTGTGATGATCTTAGACTACGAGCTGGTGTATAAGGCATAACAAGGTTTTGTAAATAGTTTGGTGCTAATCCGTTTACAGCCTTCCATGTGAGGAGAAGGATTTTGAATTCTATGCGCTTGCTGATTGGCAACCAGTGCAGCTTTTTGAGAACAGGAGAAATGTGATCATATTTAGATGTCCCTGATAAAACCCTGGCAGCTGCATTCTGAGCATGAGTTAATAGCCGAATTGTTCACACACCTTGTAAATTTCATTTTTTTTTTTTTTTTTTTTTTGTAACTCAAGTATTGAAGTGGATTGGTTGAACTAGTTCCTTCATTGATTGATTAGATGTAAGCTTTGATATGTCACATTTTCATGAAAGTTAAACTGGAACAAATCAATTTTTCACACACATACTAAAGAAATTTAAAAACTTGGTAAAGGTATTAATAATTTAGTTGTTAACAGTATGTACATGTACATTTTGTTTAATATTTTGCTGTTCATTACCAACATACATCCCATAGTAGTGGCATATCCACTAGCATTAATAATGAACAAAATATTTGAAGATTGCAAAACAAATATGAACCCCAAACATTTACGTCTGTAAAAACATTTGTCTAAACTTTGCAGAAAGCTCTAAGTTTATACACAGGGACAAACAATCAGAGATATTAAATCAATGCAAATTTCATCGTTGATCACAATTAGCATCACCCAGCTGGCTGCGGCGACCAATGTAAATGTCTTCACCATTCTGCAGCAATGTTACTCAATTACAGCTAATTGCTTCTAATGAAATATGATGGGTTGAGCAAGTATGCCAGATGCGTTTTGCATCTTGATGCATGCATCATCCGTGGGTGGCGGGCGCATTTAGACGCAGGAGTACAGCTAGCTACTGGGAGAGGGGTGAAGTCACCAAGTATACCTATTTTTAAAAAACCACAAGCATTTTAATGGTTGTGTAAGTATAGAATAGATGATACCACATTGATATTTGATAGGCTGCTATCAGAAAACAAACTGAATTTCATGAGTTGTTGCGTGAAGTGCTCTAGCAAGACCTGCATATATCATCCGTGGGTGGCGGGCGCATTTAGATGTAGGAGTATAGAACTACTGGGAGAGGCGAAGTCACCGAGCCTACCTATTTTTAATAAACAACAAGCATTTTAATGGTTGTGTGAGTATAGATGATACCACATTAATATTTGATAGGCTGCTATCAGAAACAAACTGAATTTCATGAGTTGTTTCATAAAGTGCTCTAGCAAGACCTTCATATTAAAAAAAGAAACTGGTATCCTGAAAATGAACCCTAATTCTACAGTTAGTATGGCATTGAGTAACCTTGAATGAGATAACTATGGCTGGAGTCTGAAAAATTTATATTACACCAGAATCAATTAATTTTGATGCAAACTGCATTTCTTACTCGAGTTGAGGAAGTTGCCTTTGTGTCATGGTCGAGTAAATACGTCACCGGACTGTCGATCACAAGGTTGCCTCATTTGCCACACTCAACCCAGGTGATGTAAATGGGTACCTGGCAGGAATTAATTCCTTGAAATGCTGGAGCGCTGTAATGGCAGCTAGGCTAAAGCCGGGGTATTAATAAATGAGCCTCGTAATAGAATTTCTAGATAGACGGCGCTATAGAAATACTTTATGATTCACGAACATACTCCCGCATGAGTACAGAAATATCCCTTCCTCCCCATGGGAAGATCAGGATGGATACATTTTTGGGTGTCTTATGTCTTTTCTCTATTTCCGTCACTAAACTCAACCCACTTTCTTACCCCTCCCAGCTCAGTACAATAGAGCTCCGAAGAGCACATTCCATGCCTGGTGTCCTATGGGGTAATGAAGGTTCCCCCCTCCATAGATAAACAAAATCACCCTGAGTGGTGATGATGGTCTAAGCAGATGCTGGTTGGATGCATTCTCCTGGGCCTGGGTCGGTCGGTCGCCGTGGCGATGGTCAGTTATTATCCACACAGCGGATACCACTGAACCTCAGTCACGTTCGTTCATTCGTAGAGTGATGGAGGGATGGGAGAGATGAGGAAAGGGATGGAGAGATAGGGGAGGGAAGGAGAGAGGGAGAAGGAGAGAGAAGGAGAGAGAAGGAGAGAGAGATAGAGAGAGAGAGAGAGATGGAGAGGATGGGAGAGGGATGGAGAGATAGGGGAGGGAAGGAGAGAGGGAGAAGGAGAGAGAAGGAGAGAGAGAGAGGGAGAGAGAGAGAGAGAGAGATGGAGAGGATGGGAGAGGGATGGAGAGATAGGGGAGGGAAGGAGAGAGGGAGAAGGAGAGAGAAGGAGAGAGAAGGAGAGAGGGAGAGAGAGAGAGAGAGAGAGATGGAGAGGATGGGAGAGGGATGGAGAGATAGGGGAGGGAAGGAGAGAGGGAGAAGGAGAGAGAAGGAGAGAGAGAGAGGGAGAGAGAGAGAGAGAGAGGATGGGAGAGGGATGGAGAGATAGGGGAGGGAAGGAGAGAGGGAGAAGGAGAGAGAAGGAGAGAGAGAGAGAGAGAGAGAGAGAGAAGATGGGAGAGATGAGGAGAGGGATGGAGAGATAGGGGAGGGAAGGAGAGAGGGAGAAGGAGAGAGAGAGAGAGAGAGAGAGAGGATGGAGAGATGAGGAGAGGGATGGAGAGATAGGGGAGGGAAGGGGAGAGGGAGAGAGAGAGAGAGAGAGAGAGATAGAGAGGATGGGAGAGATGGAAGGAGGGAAGGAGAGAGAGAGAGAGAGGGACAGAGACAGATAGATATAGAGTGAAAGAGAGAGAGATATAGAGAGAAAGAGACAGCCAGACAGAGAGGGAGGGAGATGGAGAGAGAGAAGACAAAATAGGTAGCATGAAAATGAGTTGATGTTGAAACTACTGTAGGGGTGTGACAAAAAGAATAAGTGATTTAGTACTTGATAATTATGAACAAGAAAAAATAAGGTCTCGATGAATAAAATGTAATTGAGATGAATTAGAAATGAATACCATTGAATGTACTTGTTTATACAGATAGTGATATTGATCATGGTATACATATTTTATATATATATATATATATATATATATATATATATATGTAATTTGAACTCTTATTAAATGCATATCACATGTAGCTGCATATAATTGATAAAAGAAAAATGAAACTGTTGAACTCGATACAAAGTAGGCCATCAGTTGAATGTAGGTAAGCTCATACAGAGCTTTGTCCTGAAAACCTTAATTAATACGATTGTTCTACGACCATCCTTGACTGTTCACTGACATTCATGGAGCGGACAAAACCCACCAGGGGTCTGCTAATATAGGGGTGATGAGGAGTAGGGTGGAGAGTTGTTAGGCGAGGATGGGAGGGGGGGGGGGATCGAAATAAGTAATACTGTCAAATTCAGGATGGGTAGCTGTATTGTGTAGTATCGAGAGCTTCGTATGAGGCTTATGCAGCTTGGAGATGGAGTGATTGCGCTGTTATTTTACAAAAAGAATATTTTATTTTTTATTTTGGGGCATAAGTGAGGCAATTGTTGTCTTAGTTGGTTTAACCAAAAAGGCCATTATTCAGTCATTATAATATAATGATTAAAGAAATTGAAGAAGATAGTGAAGGGAAGAGGGAGAGCATGTCTGAATACTATGAATGATGAAAGTATCTTGATATCTTGATAGCTGTGTGGATGAGAGAGAGAGAGAGAAAGAGAGAGAGAGAGAGAGAGAGAGAGAAAGTTGAAAGGAAAGGTAGTGTTACTGAACCCCCCCCCCTATTCTGAGCGTATCATCCTGTGACAGCTCCTGACTTAGTATTCAATAGTCTACCTGAAAATACCATTATGTATCATTATCATAGCAAATCATGTTCATCATCTTCAGTCATCTTTGATAGTTATCACCATAATACTGTTATTTCCAATAATTTATTTCAGGGTTATTATAATTTGTATAGTCATTATGACCTTTGTCAGTATCACCACCATATCAAGCAGTTGTAAAAGACTCTAACACCTGAATGATATTCAATTAATCATACTCAAAACTGTTTCCATAATCTAGGGTGAGATAGATGACAATTCCAGCAGGTCAGCACTGGACCGTCCGTACACACGCCCAGGACACACAGTTGACCGCACCCTACACCACAAGCTAACAAGACAAGCTTCCTAGCTTCCTACCACACTTCAGTTTTTATTAATAGCTACATTAATGACCCGCCAAACACTTGCCAATTAAAATTTCTGCACTGGTTGTCCAACGACGCCTGACACATGGGACGGCACTGTGCTGTGCCTCCCTGCCACGAGCAACACCAATGGTGTATCTCGGCATGGTTTAATGACAGGCCTTGGGGGTGTTTCACAAAGATCCTAAGTCGAACTTAACTCTAAGTTGGACTTAACAGTTATGGAAAGCCGTTACCATCTATGAAAATATTTTGTAAAAGTTATTTTAAAAGGCATAAAATGTTGATTCAAATCATTCATATTTTTTTTATTATCAAGGAGATTTCATGTTCTTGATGTGGAATTTATAAAAAGTCTAAAGTACTTGAATTTTTACATTTGAATACATTTTATTTTAAGGCAACAAGTGGCTCTCCATAATGTTTATGTCTAACTTTGAGTTAAGTTCAACTTAGGATCTTTGTGAAACACCCCCCAGGAAACTTGACTATTACCTCTTGAGTCTCTGGAGCCTTGGGTGACGTGGTCATTGTTTCCATAGACTCCTCACCCATACCCATCAAACTTTCGCTTTTGAATTTAA